TATTCGTTAACAGTGTTTTGGATCGAAATTAACATATGACTCATATGACCCTCAGCCGTATATACAGAGCAAACCCCTAAGAGGTATACACATGGGTTGCATAAAGAGATTATCCACTGAACGAAAAACTAGAGGGTGGAATCGATGGAGCTGTATTGTCAACCGAACACCGCATGGTACTCAATATAGCTACCAATTTGTGATGTCCTCCAGAGAATAATTGTTTACGAGTCGCCAACACTTTTTAAAGTAATGAACACTTGGAAATGTACTCCGTACATTTAGTAATTGACTCCGGGTTTTTTCATAAGATAAAATATATTTCTTCTTGCTACTTACTACTAGGATGTTACTTAGGTGTTACATCATTATAATTAACAATGTTACTAAGAAAAATAAACGAAGAGTCGTCCGAAAAAATGTAATAGTATTTTCTTTAGAATCTATTTTAGGCCTTTGTAAAGATGAAATGTTATATTCGTGTAATATTTTGTATAACCTAGCTAAGATTTTTTTCTCTGGGGTTAAAATAAACAATACACCATTTGAGTACATTCTCCTGCCACTCAGAATTCTTTAAAGTTACATATATATGGTACTCCAAGATATAATAATTATTTGATCTGTGCCAATTACTGTAGTACCCTAGGGTATTACCAAACGAAATAATAGGTTTATAATTCGTATTACTGTCTACAAAAGAGTCCGTTAATCGGCTTCCCTGTGTAATTACTTATGGACGGGTTTACTGAAACCATACAATCATTGGTTTTGCAAGTAGCTGAAAGAACTTTTAGGTTGGTTTTATATGCTTGCCGAGGTCATAAAATATATTAATATGTTTCTAGCTACAAATGGACATTTTTGCTTTCCTTATGAATTAATTGTTTTGCTGTGAATCATCATTATACTCGTAATATTAATATGAAACAATAAAGACGACTAATCACTGATTATGAATGCTCTCCTAGACTCAAGTTGAAATATTTTTTTTGAGAATCTGTTAGGTTTATTGAATGGGCTTTATTGGGAAAATATGGGCAGTATAGTTAGCCAATATAGTTGATTTTATAATTTTTATTATTTTTCTTTTATTAAGAAATACCTGAAAAAACATAGAATGTAGGTACAGCAACATTACACAGAATATATTTTTACTAATTACTTGTACGGTGTACGTGTACAGCGCGTACCTTACGAAAAATAAGATGGAAGTTATTAGAAATTATGAATTAAACTGTTGTTTTATTAATACCTCATTTATTTAAATAATATCCGACTTTACTTTTCTCAAAACCGAATTGACTAACTTTAACTATTTTGGTGAATTTAGTTATTTTAGTGAATTGAATAATTTTTTACACAATAACATTGATATGCTACTGCCTAAATGGTCTATAAAATTTCTAAAAAAATTTTAGGGAATCAAAGCTTCCTCTATGAAAAATCAAAATGTATTATAATTTTCAATACGATAAACAACCCATGGAGAGGACAATCTAATATCCACATAAATCAGATAGTGCTACAGTTCACCATATTAATTATATTTAATAATATTATTAATTATATTTTAAACCGGCCAAATTTTAGAGAAATTGTGTACTTTTATTTTTATACTGCTAGAAAACTTTATTAGATAATTAATTGACCCGGAAGATAGAAAATATAATTTATGTCTAAGTTAATTGTGACCAAAAAAAAACTTAACTTTTTAATTTACAACCAACATACATATTCTCAGCCAATTTTTTTCAAGTTGTGCGTTACTTTTCTAATTATGTCTGAACTTATGAGATGGACTGGAATATTTACCATATTTTTTCGACTTTAATATTCGTTTTGAGGATTGTGTGGAAATTACTCCAATTGGTGTAGTTAATAGTTTAATATTTACAAGGTTAAGTTTTGAGGAGTTGGGATTGTAAAAGAACAAAGCATTTTCTTAAAAAATAAATGCTTTTTATTATCTATCTGTCTGTGAGATGGGAATGTGACGGTGGCAAACAATTACTATACGATTTGACGGTGGCTGCCGTTGACATTTCCGCAGTTAGATTTGGTTACTAAAAAGGAGAAGGCATAGAGGGGATATAGATTAACACGAAGAGTCGAAAGAAGTTTAGGAAGGATGTGTCTGGTTAAGATCACTAACGAATTTCTTGATTACTGACGACTTCAAATCAAATCATTTGCTTGACGGCGACGGTGGTTCGTTAATTTCGGATGTCGTCACCGCGGGCGATTGACGAATACGGCGAGGGAAAACTTACGACATAAAATATATAAGTGAAAAGTAATTACAGCCAAATCACTTAATGTGTATAATAATTATCGGATGTGTAGCGTCTTTTGAGTTTTGGATGTTAGTTAGTTGAATGTTTTAAGATAAATATGTACGTTTGACCTTCAGTTTTAAGTGTCAATTACACGAATGCCAAGTTCTTTATTAAAATATACGTGTTTTGAATGAATTGGTATGAATAGCTATGAATTATTAAAAAAAAAAAGGTTAACAACTAACACTGTAATTAGATAGAGAATGATAAATTATAACCCAACTGTATATAATGTGTAGTACTATTATTTTTAAGGTTCGAGTTTGTAGGTAATTCGACTATTTTTCGAAAGTTGAATGTACATTTGTCTTCTCAATTTTAAAGGTTTTTGGTTTAAAAAGTTATCCTAAGCTTAGACACAAAATTAAAATAATAAAAGCACATAACTACACGACATAGGTACTAGCCACTAGGTACGTATCAAAACACAAAGAAGAATTCTCTGTCGTTTTAATTTAAAAAGTTGAGCTTACTGAAATTACTATTACACTTTGTAAAGCTTATTTTTAAATAACGTAATTTCATATAATTTGAAATATGACTTATGTTTAAACAAAAAAAAACAAATTTGCGAAAAAACTAACTGATGCATTGAACCAAAAACCACAATATATTCAGTACATTTTTGTTTTGTTTAATAAAATGATCATCGAATTTATAATATAATTTTTAGTTTCGATGTGAAACTGATAACGTATTGTTTTTTTTTTATTTCCGGGATTAATACGTACGTGGAATTAAAGCCTTTTTTTTTAACGAACTATTGGATTATTAGATTAAATAATATAGACTGGTGTAGCACGTCTAGTTATTATTATTATTTTTGTTTTAAACTTGTATATAACGCTGACTAGTTTTTATTCAGCTTAAAACGTGTTGGATGTACTCATAGCCATAACGCGTTGTTAAGTTATATTAGTACATGTGCAGGCCGTAAAAATGCATATAATAGTTACACACTGTGTGGGAATAAAAATGATAAATATCCGTGTATTCCGACCTACAGCCGTGTTAACAAAATGGTTTGATTACACAAACAATGACTGTTTCTGTTTGTTTTTAAACGACAGTTTATTATTTAGTGCGATTTCACTAAAAAAATATGTTGTTGTGTCATATGATCAAACGAGTCTTACTATGAAATAATTTAAATATCTAATATTTATCTTAGATGTTTAATATATTTTTATGATAGTTTTTTCTAGCTTGATATAATTCGTTTTATTCGTTATTAAAAATTAATTTAAGTTCCAAAATCAAGTTACCCGGATAGTTGAAACGGATAAACCGGATTGTATTGTATTTGTTAAACTATCCGGATATATTCCATAATGTCTGTATCCATTTTCCCGGGTTTTTTAATATCCGATTATTCATATGGCCCTCTTAAAAACAAAAGTTTTTCCACAGTTTTTTACAAGGGTTTACAGAGTACATTCGTGTTAATGAGATTCACACTGTATACATAACAAGACGGTTTATGCGTTTGTTGCGTACAGGTATTCAATTTTGGGTTTTGATGGACGTACCCGGTTCCTATAGAGGTACTATCGTATGCACCGTACTTTCCACTATTGTTCTTTTCTTCCTGTGCAGTGCGTTACTATCATTATGTTAATACAACGGTACTGCAGAAGCGGTGGCGGTCGCATGCAACAGAGACAGCGCGGCATTAGGTCTTGGTGATCGTCGGCCCTTTTAACACAATACAAGGTTTACCACTCCTCTCTCTCCTACTTTTTTATGCTCCCTTTCTCTCGGTGGCAAACAATAAAAAGGATTTCGGACAAAACTTATTGCACGTCCTTCTATACAAACCCTCACCCCCCCCCCCCCGCTTTACCGTGTATCGTCGCTTCCGCGCTTGCCGGACTCTCAAAATTATATTATTGCTATTATAATCGTACCGTAGTAATCCATTATCGTTTGGTAGTTCGTTTTCCTACACTCAGCGTCGGTGCATGTACGTCGAGTGATAATAATTAAGTCTTTTATAATATTTTACAATAAAATAATAATATACGACGAGGTAGGTACGTCCGAGCGACCCTTCAACGGGCGGGCAGGCGTGTGTGTGTATATTAAATTCCGTTTTTGTTTTAATGGCTTTTGTAAGCGCTCCGGTTTCACATAATAACACGAGATTGTCCAAAGCACGGCGCACTCGAAAAGGACGACGGATTAATCGTCCGAAAATTAAATCCTTTCCAGTTTCCTTATAATAATACATACGCGCTATATGACTTTCTATTGTTGTCTAAACGCTGCACATAACGATATTATTATCGGCAACGATCAGACTTAATCGTAAATATTCGCTGCAGCGTTTTATGCAGGCAAAATAAAACGTTTAACTCTAGAGTATTTCATATTTAATAAATTAAATATTTAAAATGAATTTATTTCTAAAACAAAATGTCAATTTTTATTATTATTATTATTATTATTATTATTATTATTATTATTATTATTTACCATTTGGTTTTATTTATACAATATCGATTTGACGATGTCGAATCGTGTATTCGAAAAAAGTTTTCAACCGTAAGTGCACAGTAAACAAGTACACGTATAGTGCAAAAAAGTTTCACACGACGCGACGCTTAATGTATAAGGCTACGCAAGATGTAGGGGGGGGGCGCTCCTTTAAGTTTAAACTTCAAACCTCACTACAATATTTAAGTTTTTAGAACAGTGCGACTTTACACATAACAATAGTACGTAAAATAGTTATTTACATGTATGTCACGCTTGGTATACTGAATGCGTGTCCAGTGACATTACTGAATTGCTACTTCATTTAAAAGACAGGTAATCCAAAATGTATTTAAAAATCTAAGAATTGTTAAATTTTATTCATAGCACACTATATTAGCAAGCAAAATAACATTTATTAGGTATATATTTCGAGCGTCACTATATATTTTTGATTGAATGTAGTTGATAAAAATCGATAATCTATATAAAAGCAAAACTTTCCAAAATGAACGAGTGACCTTATTTATTTAACTTATTTTATGACAGAAAAATCTAATAAGCAACATAAAATTATATTTTATTCTTCATAAATAAAAAATATTACGTATATAATACTGGCAGCTTTGTCGTCGTCAGTGAAAAGATTTGGGAGGTAGTAAAATATCGACCCACGGGGTCGTAGGAGTAATAAAATATCAATTGTTACCGACAGTCGTGTAATGTCATTTAACGGGTTTCTGATTTTTTATTGGATGGAAAACTATTAATATTTTAACATGTTAAATTATTTTGTTACATAATACTCATTTTGTATAATCAAAATATTATTCATTTTTAGACATTAGATACGAATGTGTGTATAATAATTATTCTAATTGAGTTTCATTCCAAGAGTTTAATCCTAATACAGCTGAAGAAATCGAATTGAGCGATTTTGTGCTAAACAACGTGTTAAGGGCTATTATATTGCTCCTAAATTGTGTGGGCCGAGAAAAACTATTTCACGTGACGGACTATGTATTATAGGACAAAACATAATAATATAATATTATTTTATACCTCTAGCTATACTTAAAAACAAATTGTTATTAAATACTGCTATTTTTATTACATCATTCATTTTATTAGTTATGTGCGATTTATAAATTGAAAGTTTTTATAACAGTATACTGTTAACTGTAAGACTATACTTTAGTATACTATAAGAGTAGGGTTGATTTTTACAGTTTTGCAATATACTACAAAATCATATCTTATGGTTAAGTTGTATCAGTTCGCACTGCCTAAGAAGTGCTGAGCTACATTTATTACTATTTTGTTCTATTTTGATAAAAGTGTAAAAAAAATAAGTATATAGTAAAGAACAAAAATAATTAAGCATTTAAAAATACTCAAAACCATAAAAAATAATACACTTCCGTATATACGTATTTCGGCAGCAAGTTAATATCATTACAGCTCACAACAGGCTGAATCAGTATATTCAGTCCTAAGTATACATTTTGTTGTTGTTAAGGTTTTTTATTTAAATAGTTCATTATTTCTTTAGGATAAAATTTCGTTTCAATACTATAACCTACAAAATGTGTTAAATGTTTTTTTAAGGTAAGCAATGTGTACTATTGTTACACCTATATACACTCGACCAGTTTATATTTATTTAGTATACAAAAAATTCCGCTTACAACATTTTTACAGGTAATACAGGCACACGCAATGTAGTAGATATGTCTTAAAAAATTGTTATTGTTATACATCGATTCTTCTCTGGCGTCAGTTACATAGAAAAACAATGAACAAGGCAGGTGTTAAAAACACTTTGTTTTCAATCTAACATTGCCCGGGTTAAAATTAGGATAGTGAATGGGGGTGGAGGTCATAGAACAATTATTACAAATAATATAAAATTGAAACATACAGTAATATAAATGCCCAGGGGGGTCTATTCTTGAAAATGTTCTACTACCATTTCGTATACGAAATGTGACTTTCTACTGGTTTTTTAAAACTGTATTCTTGAAATTGCGTTTTCTATTACTCTTTCTATTCTACTAGGCATTCGTATACGAATTACGTTATATTACCTGAATTATTATATTATCTAGTCTAAAATCTTGTCAAATATTTAAATATACAATTGGTTTACTATTTAATAATTCTAAATATTTATGATTACTCTAAATAGTAAAATTAAATTTAGTTAAATGTATACTTTATAAAATATAGTCTATATATTTAGTAGGTGGTATTTAGTACAAAATGCACTTTATCAACATTCTATAGTACACTAATGTAATGTTTAAATTTTAATAAATCATTTATTTGGTTGGTTGGTTCTGATTTATGTTCATTATATTGTATTGAAAATATTTTTTAGTTGATAATTAATTACAATATATAATAATAATACAAAATTATAATTATCTAAGACTTTATTACTATTATGAAAATTATTGGTAGGAAGAACTAACTTAGAAAGTTGTACTTACTAAATATTAGTATTTATAGATTAGAAATTTTCGAATTAATTTGTATTTTTTTATTCTTCTCCAAACAGTCTTGCATGCTAATAATTATGGGTATGTAGTAATGACAGCAAATTGTTAAAATATATAATATAATATATTATATAGACATATTTTATTTTAGTAATATAATAACTATTTTAATAGTAACATAAAATATTAAATCTGTGTACTTACATTCAAAAGGATCAATAGGCTCATAAGTTCGCCTAGTTACTTCTCCGTCAAGTTCTCTTTGTTCCAACTCTTCGATAGCAAATAAATGCATTATTAAATCATTATCATCATCCATTTAAAAAAAAAAGTTATGCAGTAATGACAATACTTAGCTTTTTTAAAACCTATAGTTAGACAAGGCAGACCTTACTTATCTCGTGGGTTCTCGGTCTTTAGTAATAATCTTGCCGAAATGTTCAGACACCGGCAGTAATTACTAAACGATAAATGGATATCGACAAACGTAGTCAACAATAGAGGTGACACATTATTTAAAATAATTTACGGAAAATTCAGTAAAACACATTACACAGTCGACACTGTTGACTATACAATACAAATTGACAACTATTGGTAATTTCGACTTATAAGATTAAGTTAAAGTTTTTGATTATAGTACATTCTCATAAATTATGACACCGTAGTTATCAAATACAAACACTGCAAATAGTATTATATGTACAATAATATATCTTATGGATTAACTAGAGAGACTAGATAACTAATTTTTATGAAATCTTTCTATTGTAAACAATATCGCATAAAATACGAAAATTATGTGATCATTACGGCGGACAATATATGTGTCACATCGGTATAATAGAAAGTTATACAATACACATAGGTACAATAAAATCCAATGTAATACCATTAACCCCAACCATGCATTTGTTGCATTCAATTATTATTTTTTGGCGTACTACATATGCCCGCGGACTATATATTCTATTAAATATGTTTTGATACCATATTTAATAACTAATAAATATGTAACAAATATAAATATAATATTAGATATGTAAGTAATATAACGATGAATTGAGTTTTTATTGTCATAACGTGAAACTATTGTTTGATTTTTATAATTATTATCATTTTAAAGATAATAATTTGTCATTATCAAATATAAATATTTCACGTCATATTGATACTAAACGTTTATGTTAATCTATAATAATAATATAGCATAGTAAATTTCATTTATACTCTAAATATATATTTTATGTAGTACACATATTATTTACTATAAATAATGTAGATTAAATTATTATTATTGTTATTATGAATTAAAGTACTCGTATAAGTATAAGTATGAGTATAAGTAATCGTTATTCGTACGCGAATCATAGATTCTACTGCCTATACCCCAGTAGTTGCAACGTATACGAATTGGACCCGTAATAGAATGTTATTCGAGTGCTTTGAGTGACCGCAGTAGAAAATTATTCGTGTACGAATAGTCATATAACACTGCTTTAAATGGTATTCTTGACATTCGCATACGAACATTTCGTATACGACCGATTCGTATAATTACGAATAATTTTCGAATGGTTTCAAGAATAGACCCCCAGTACTCAAATATCAGTTTATTTTTTTAACCTTCATACATTTTCATTATTTCCAAACTTTTGTTTATAGGGTTTTCCAATGGCCAAGTGGGGTAATTGTAAACAAATGGGAAAAATGTATATGCATATCATTTTATAGAAAAAACTAATAATGTTTGTGTTTTGTTTGTTAATTGTGTATTTTATTAAAATTGTATACTAAAAACATTCGTTACATTGTCCATTTCAATATATTGCATTTATATTTGCCTCAAATGTTTACAAAATGTGTTTATTTAGCTATTCACACATGTTATAATTTATTTTTCATACTCATATTTTGTCTTTTGTTTTTGTGAATAAATGTACCTTGACGTTTTCAATCTGAATTCATCAAATATTAAAAATTGTTTAAAACATTATTAAAAGTTTAATTCATTTATGCCTAAAAAGTGAAAAATATTAACTTTTAAGAAAACAAATTAATTCGGATACTGAATAGTTATTACAAATAAGTATTGTTAAATACATTTTCAAAACGCTTTGAAACCAAAAAGGATTGTCATGTTGTTTTCTCAAGTTGAATAAAAACGTAATTGCATACTTAGCAATTGTTTAATATTTAAACCAAGTTATATTATTGAACATTTGATATTATACATAAAACCAACATTTAATTAAAAACGAATTATTTTTCTTCTACCTATAAGAGTGTAAAATCTCGTTTTATTTACCACATACTATCATAGTATTTAACTTGTTATTAACAATAGTCGAATTTCGAGTTTGTGAGTTTATTATAATAATAATATAGTTTTATGTGATTGTTTTGAATTTAATCAAACTTTATTTGTATTGTTTTAGTACAGTACACGTGTCATATTATACATAAGAGCACTAAAAAAAAAAAAAACAAGATGAAGAACAGTTTTACCTATTTTTTAATGGTGGCTACCATTCTCCTGGGTACTTTAATAATTGGTAAGATGAATTATAAGTATAAATATTTTAAACAATTTATTCACTTTTCTTTTAATTTATACTATAAGAAATAATTACCAGGAACAAATCTTTCGATGGCATCAAGCTTATTCACAGTGGTTGTGATAAGAGCGTAGCGTTCTTTAGATTTTTAAACTTTAAATGAGAACTCTCGTGTATAGGTTTTAAATTGTATTCTCATTTCCTTAGTCAGCAAATATAGAGGAAATCGCCATTTTCTTTATTAACAGTGATGTTTGCCACTCGTTATCGTCAATAGACTTCTACGGAATTATAACTAACAATTGATAAAATAACTTAATAAAATGAAAATTATGAAATATAGTTAAATAACATGTAAAGTATTTATTTATTATTCGATTAATTATGTTTGATAATTTGTAATAATTTTGTATTTTGCCAAATTAACATGCTTATATTTTTACAGGGAGCAACGAAACATCAACTAGATGTAAGTACTATTTTTTTATATTATTCAAATGGTTTATTCCTACTAGAAAATGAATTAGTATTTATTTGTAAAATACAAAACAAATTATCTTATGTAGAAACCAATTACTTTCTTCTAAACATTTGCCTAGAATTTAGTTATTCTCTATAAAGTATAACTAATTTTCTTGGAATAGTCTTAGAGTGTTGTCAGTTATAAATAACACTTCAGTTAGAGATGTATGAGGTCCTTTGTCACAAACATAATACAACACAATGATAACTATAATTATAGCAGTCTTAAATCTTAATATAACAATAAGTAACTAAGATATTTATATTATTTAAAGAAATCATTTTGATACTATTTTCTATTTAGTTATCAGCTAAGTGATCAGCAGTATTTACATAGTATAAATGACTATTATGTAATTTGGCAGTTATATAAAAATGTTTTGGAAGCTGAAACATCTGAGATTTTAGTTAAAAAACTGAAACTAAATGATAATATTGATTTAGTTTCAAGCACCCTTAGTAAGTTATATTAACATTCAAATTCGTCATGAATAATATAGTTCATGAGTCAAGTAATGTTTTTTTTCTAAACTAGTTTTTTTACACTAAACACCTTTTGGTGATCTATTCAGATTTTCCTGATCGCACTTTTGTGTTTGCAGTTCACATAAAACCTTGTATCATAATCGTTTTTAAAGATTGTTAAAATAATTTATTTGTTGCCTGGAACGTCCTAAAGCAGTCTATAGGAATCCGAATAGCCGATTTCGGGTCATATATCACATTCCTCACGTATTTTCATAAACACTTTTAGCTGTTGAAAAGTTCGTTTTAACAAATTTTGTATTTTAACTTAAAGTTTGATAAAAACAGAGCTATAATAGGTTTTCTATATCAATTTAATTCAAACTAATAATTGTTGCTGTATTAAAAAGACTGTCTTTTAATACAAAAAATACACCCGTTTTTGTGAGCAATTATTTTGTAATGTTATATATATATATATATATATATATATATATATTTATTTATTTATTTATTTGTTTTAGCTAAGAATGATAATCCATTAAAATGGCACAAAAAACAATTATCCGTCTTGGTGATAAAAATAATAAATGATACGACAGTCTTGCCTTCATTTATAGAAATAGTTAAATGGCTGATTCAAGTAAAAATGAATACTTTTATTCAAGTTCGGCACCCAATTACATTAAGTCGAATGAATTGCAGGAGAAGAGTACGAACGTATTTGTTGAAAAAACTGTGAAAGAAGAGTTTAACTCGCAATTCATAGATGTCCATAATGTTTTGAAGTCATTCCAGAAGGACAATAGCGATCATATAGATGAAATTGATTTTATTATTTGTTTAGGTGGACATGGTACATTATTCTACGCTACTAGTCTGTTCTCAGTATGTACTCATAATTTCCTTTTTTTATTTTATAATGATACACTAATTATTTTTATCTTTTAAAATTTGTTTTTAGAAAACAGTACCGCCTGTTATGTCGTTTCCCATGAGCCCCCCTGGTTTTTTAACACCATTTCAAATACAAGAATTTAAAGAAGAAATAACTAACGTTATTGAAGGACATGCAACGTATTTTATTCGAAGTAGACTGGAATGTAATCTTATTAAGGAAACTAATACTAACCAGTTTACCGAAAACATTTCGGTGCTCAATGACGTGATTATTGAGCACGGATCAAATCACCTTTTCAGCTTATCTTTGTACATTGATGGAACTCACATAACAAATGTGAAAGGAGATGGTAAACATTCATGGAATTAATTTTCAAAGACATTATAAATTGTAATAATTCTAAATTATTATAAACAATATTGATTGAATCATACTGTTATATTAAGTACTGATATTTTAACCAATTTGAAAAAACAATTCAATGATAAGCGGTATACTAAATTATGCTATGTATAAAAACCAATAAACTGAATTAAAAATTGAACATGTGTCTTCTATTCATATTTAAAATAAGTGTTTAAAATTCCAGGTCTAGTTATATCAACGCCGACTGGAAGTTCTGCATTTGCTGCATCGACGGGATCGTCTTTAATTCACCCAAGGATTTCAGCTATTTTGATTTCTGCTATATGCCCATTTGCATTATCATTCAGATCGGTTGTAGTGTCAGCTGATGTTGAAATAAAAGTAGGGTTTACACATTATTAAATATTAAATAATACTTAATGTCTTAGTTTGTAATAATTATTTTTGTTTGTTGAGTTGTAAACAATTTTTTAAACGATGTATAAAAAATGTCTACTTGTTTACAATATTTCAGTACGAATACTATCGTCTTAATCTCTGCCAATTTAAATATATGTCAAGACAAATGTATTTAATAATTGTAATTTAAATGTAATTTTTTAACGAAGGAAACAGTAAGAAGTAAGTCCAATTACTTGTTACAGATTATGTTGGCTCCTACTAACCCTCTTACAACCTTTGCTTTTGTTACGTTCGACGGTGCCAATAAACAACAGTTAAATGTTGGTGATAGGTAAGTCATCAAAACGTTTAAATAATATTTAATTATTCGGTAACAGTTATCAATGCTAGATTCAACCAAGGTACTTCATTTAATTTTCGCTTAAATTAACTGTAGGTATACTTCCTAAATGCTAAATAAATTAGGTATTAGGCTTTTTATATATATATATATATATATATATATATATATATATATATATATATAAATGGATTATCCCTGTGGACAGGGGAGAAAGAATTCTTCCAAGGGCCTTACACCTGTCGTAAAAGGCGACTAAAGTGACGTTGAGCCGAACGTTAAGAGGCCTTCTATGGGACCACTTCTCTTGAGACATACCTTCCCCGGCCTGCAGATAACGCCTAGCGCTACTAGTCGGTTCGTGGTCGTAGGGGCCCCCTTTGGGGAGAACCACAAAAGCCAAGGTACGCCCATATAAATGGATACTGGATTGGCATGTTATTTTAGCTTCGACGCGGAGCTAACTAGAAGATTTCTAGTAATAAAAATAATTTGTTTTTTCGATTAAGTAAATGAACTAACGATAATATTTTAACTAATTCCTTCATACAGCCTATAGATTAGATATCGTACACCTAAGTTACATAATAAGGCCAAAGTTAAAGAAGGTCGACTCTTTCCTATCCAAACGTGCTAGTGCTTTTTTTCAATAATTACCTTTTTTCTGAAAATACACCTAACTTGATTTCTATGTTAACCTAATATGATTTATATTTTCAGCATTCAAATAAAGTCGTCACTATATCCTGTACAAACAATAAATCCCCAAGATAAAACTATGGATTGGTTTAGTTTGCTTTCCAAAATTATGAGTTGGAATGTGCGCATAAATCAAAAAGCCATCGAAAATAATTGAATGCTTAGACTCTAATCTGAAAGATTATTATTATTTATGCTAATATAATACTATTATATAATATACCTAATAATAAAATACTACTATATAGTATTATTGTATATTACATTATCATCTTACATACGCAAATGTTTTTGTTATATTGATATAATATCTAAAATAAATCTTATATGTATAAACTTTAATACATTTGACTTTCTTTCTTTTATCAACATTGGTATTAGGTGGCCAATATGTTTTTCGTTGAAACATACGAGTAATATTAATCATCATTCATCAATGTCAATGATCTGAAATAGACGATTGCAATCGTCACGGCGTGTATTATATATTAACAATTTCTATCCCCGTCGACAGGTCACAAAGTTTTAGCCAAAGTACTATAGATTATGTTGTTGTAATATCTCGTTCGTACTCCGAGGAGGGGTACTTAAATATATTGTCAAAATGTCAGTAAAAAAAAAAATTAATTTACTTCCAAAAAAATAAACTGGCGTGGACGGCAAAAATAATTAAATAATTCATGAGGACATTTTTTATTTTGTCGGCGCCAGTGTCCGCCCTTATCCGATCCCCAAGTATACAACAGTGTATATGTGCCAGTGTAGTCTACACAAATGCATTTCTCCGTCACAATTTCAGTTTGACTATAGCAGCGTGCGCCCCTCTACGTTTTGAACAATTATGCGAACAAATATTTTGTTTTAATTAGACGTTATATTGTTTTTTTTTCCATAATAATAATTATTATTGGGCACAATAACTGTACGGAGACGATGGTGGCGAGTAGGGGCTACATTATCTTTGTATAAAAAACAAATCATATTATCCTATTCTATAAACATACATAAACACTGGTCGCGCATTGTATAATATTAAATATTGTAATATAATATTTAAAAAAAAATTGTTATTTTTACAATATTGGAAACTGGAGTTCTTTAAAAAAAAAGCTGTGATGTTTATCGCTTTGATTATATGCGACTTGGCGTCAATGTGGACACCTTAAAACGCGATAGCCGTCGAGTGGATATTATTATTATGAAGGGGAAGATTTTCTATTGTTCCGTTTCCGTTTTTATAGAATATTTTCGGCGTGAAATACTGCAGGAGAGATAAACAACACGAGCGTTTACGACGTCGTTAAACCTTATTATTTACCCTAAAGTAAACTATTGTCGTGTTCATATTTTCAGTGTAAATTCGTTAACCGACCCGATTTCGTAACGGGAAATCGACCATAGCAGTAATATAATATGCTGTGTAATAGGTGTTAATTTTGGTTTGTCTACTCGCAAAATTTAAATAAATGTAGTTCTTATTTATTCATGCAATAAATATAAATTATCAACTATTACGAAAATGAAAAAAATCCGGTTTTATTTCAGTTAGGCAAATGGAAAGTAAGAATTATATTATTATTATTATTTTCTTTTTTTTATTAACAAAAACAATCTATATACAATTAAATTTACAATGAGTTTTTTTCCTAAAATTATGAACATATCTTAAATATTGGTAACACCTTAAGAATTATATTATACAATTATAATATTGTATAAACTTTAAAAAATACCCTTCAGTCAAAAAAAGAATACACTTTTCAGTAGTGGCGTTAGCGTACAAACTAAAATCTGTTTTCACTTTTCAGTGATGGTAATGATAGAACCGAAGTAGTAAATACGCGTACACGCTTCTACTGAGAAGTGTATTCTTTTGTTCCGGTTTTTTTTCTAGGGAAATAAGAATTTTTGGTGAATTTCGATACAACGTTAACATATATATGGAAACAAAAGACAAATGTTTAAAATTTTAACCGATTTTAAAAACTGAACAGCTGTTTTATTTTTCTAAAAATATTTAATATTTTAATTTTTGTATATTAATATTATGGCTTGAGAGTGGAGTGAGTATCCCTTGTGTTTTCCCTTTGAAAATATACCCTTGGACCACGGGTCGAGTTTGGAACAGAAATGCGTTATGATTGTTTGCGTAGAAAAGGGTCAATCCTTATTGTTTGTGACGACGGTGGTAGAAGGGTTACACGACAGACTGTCAAAATTTCAATCACAATTTCCACTCCAACACGCTGCGAAATCCCATAGACAATACCAGTTTAATTGCGATTGAGAGCATACACATATATAGTAAGATTATTAGGTGTTATCGTTGACTCTCCGAGTATATTTTCATTTCTCCTTAATTGAGTCCTGTCCCATGCATAACTCTCTCTTCAACCCCTTCTCGGCATACAATAACTTCATCCGACACACCAACCCACATTTCCCCTTACGGTATATATATATATATATATATATATATATATATATATACCGTATATAAACTCCTTACGCTTTATTCCACACGTCCACTTTATTTTAGTAAGTTCTCCAGACTTCATTAGGTACTAAAATATTAGCTTATAATTAAAACGCATCGGCTTTATAGAATTTAGATTTTACCCATTTTCCTTTATTAATTGGGATAAAGTGTGTAAAGAGGTATGCTGGACATTTCTGGTAGATAATAATGGTAGGTTATTTTTGCCTACTGCAAGGAACTCGATCAGTCAAAGAACTATTTCAATCGCATAGGTTTAAGACCTACAATTATTTTATATAAATATGGGTACATTATAATTGTTATATATTATTATAAAATATTTAATACTATTTCTGTGAATAGCTTTCCGTAAAGCACAAGTAATAATAATAATATATTTGGCAGGTCCGCCCTTCTTTTAACGCTCTTGAAAGGTACCGAAAATGTTAAATTACTAACCTCCTACTTTGCTATCTGTGTTGGTTTGAAATTTCTTCTATAAATTGATGGATAAACATCTTAATACTTATAATATATAATATGTAGTATATATATATATATATGTATAATGTAGTGCCCGAGTAGGTAAGGCCATCCCCTTCTCCGCCGACGGACTGGCGACCCCTGATGGCAGCATTAGTACTTCAAGGCCTGTTAAGCTACACGTTGATAATGATATACATAGTTATAGGTGGACATGTACATATGAATGAGAGGAGGGTGCAATTATGTAAATTGTTACTCGTAACGCCGGCGGTAATCTAAACTGCTTTACGAGATTTTACCCTTATCAGTGTGTCAGTTAACGTCAATTTAACCTGTACCATAATATATATATATATATAAATGAGTAGAAGGCATGTATATAAATATATATATGTACATAAATGTATCATGTGCGGTGTGCGAGGGGAGCGTGACCGACGATCGTGTGCTTAACTACTTACTTATCTGGGAATACTAATATTGTGATCTAACACAAAACCGTAAAGCGTCTCAATTTTGTCCGCTAACGAATATAATCTGAATGTCATATCCATAATATTATATTAACATAAAATCCACTGACCAAGTACTGACCGTCCGTCAAGCTATCCGATTTTAATTGGTCTAACAAAAACGTGATGTTATCATAAGTCACTCGACCTTCTAGTAAGAAGTTACCAATTTAACCGTTACACCTTAATTATACTCTTTTGTTTATTGATTCATGTACATTGTACGTTAATATATATATATATATATATTCAATGCTAAAGCATATACCGTTTGACTTTTAAATTTTGGATTTTACCGTCAGTTTTTAGTTTTTACTCTTACTCCCTGTAAAAAGTATTCTTTAACTATTTAATTTTTTATCTCAAACCATTTAAAATGTACGAATTAAAAAAAAACATGGATAATTTTGATTGTGTACAGTGATTATAACCGTTACCAAGCCAAAATTTACATTATTTGCTATAACTACAACAATTATTAATAGTGTAATATTCTGATAACTTAATTGATTTTGAATATTGTAAATAAATAAATTTAAAGTTAATCATTAAATTAAATTTTAATTTATTCTTTTAAAAGCGCTATAAACGTTTCGTTTCAAAGCGCATAACATATTCGTCGTATTTATACCAAATACCTATTGTAAAGTTTTGCTTGGTAACTTTGACTATCGCTGCACTTATACATACATAATACATATATTTGCTTTAGTTTACAGTGTTATTATTTTTCGAATGAATGTTATATTTAGCCATGCAGCTCTTACTTATATTTTGACCCTTCCTAAGTCTTTTTCCCAAATCTGCAGCGTAATTTGGAACGTGAAGGGAATAGATTTGAAATATGCACGAGTAATTAGATAATGTTTTTTCGTCGGCGGCTAATGTGATAAAAAATACTACTTGCAAAAAGTTGGTTGCTTTATTGCACTTAATGTCTGTGGTGAAAGTGTTAAGCCGTCCGGTAGATTTATATGTATGTATATGCTCTACGCGTGTTATACACGCGAGGGTGTTTCTGAAAAACTCCTAAATAATGAATTTAAGTACTCTTTAAAAGTTTTAATACCCGTGTACAAAATACACTGTACTTTATAGCAAGACAGATATATATTTTAATGGAGCTCATAAAAATAAACTAAAGAGCTTAATGAAGGAATTGTATGGAATAAATCTTAAAGTTTCGTCCGCGACGAAAAATGAAAATGGTAAAACATGTACGTGCTTATATGTTGTGTACTTAATTTATTCTCGTTTAAATAAATGATGATCATTATTTCATGTAAAATGTTTATGTAGTTATGTATTTTGTACAAAACATAATAGCTGGTATATTATAGATTTAAGTTAATGATGTATGTTATCATCTATAAAACGAAAAATATTTTTGTAGGCTAACCGGTGAAATTAATTATTATTACACTTATGTAAAATGTATGTACTCACATAGTACATATAGAAGAACATATTTTATTTTTAAGTTCTAAACAATTTTTAATGTCTAGTTTAGTTAATTGAACTAGAAGAAGTCGAGTTTGGGCTAATGTATACTTTCGGTTGTGTCGGAGTTTCTGCGTTTTTAATTATTTTTGGAACAGAGTATAGTTGTATTGTTTTAGGGGAAGGAAAAGCGCCAAATTGTATACGAATTAAGAATAAAATGCGATGTCACTTTCTCAAGTGTCTACCGAACCGTTTTCAATTTTTTGTTAAAAAGTTTATTATCTTTTTGGCTAAATGTCCGATACTTTATTATTGTTTTTAAAACTGTATTATAGGGTTTTATATATTTTACTTTTTTATAGTTTTTTTAAAA